CACGCACATGAGTGATGTCATCCCAGAGGCATCTATGGTTCAGGGAATAAAAAGTGCAGCATCGTGAATCTGATACTGTTACATGAGCCTCGTATTAATGAAAATCTGAGGCCACTGAAGTGAAGCTAATTCAGTAATGATAACAATAAAAATAAAAATGCCTCGACATCAACACCATGACAGTTTGAAAAGTGTGGGCTGACTAGTTTCAAAGAAAGGACACAGGGTGTAAATATAAATATTTTCCGACTCTGTACCTTAAAAAAAAAGAAAGAAAGATATATTTACAGCAATTATGCAGCAGTAGTAAAATCTCAAACACCTTAGTTCAGCAGATGCTCCTGAAAAGTCCATAAAGCATCTGTCCTCAACAAGTCTCCATCTGTACACGATCAGTGAGGGTGTTAAAGCGTTAGCGCTTCCCTCTCCTCAGTGATTAAGTGCGAATTACACCTGCCGTTTACACAAAAACAGTCAGATGCTCTTTATGGTTTTGCTCTGTATTAATGGCTGCAATATTTCCAGCAACGCTGAGGACGGTCCTCCGTGAGGACGTGACGTCTTCGTTACATTTACAGCGGCGCGTTGCTGCCCCAAATACAAATGTACGGCGAGTGTTTCCATGACGGCCGGTCCACGTGTTTCTTTCACTTACAGATTGAGATTTTTTTGGCAGCTCATCTGCTTGACATTTGTACAGACACAGAACAGGAGTATCTGTCCATCTGCCTGTCTGTCTCCAGATACTCCAGTGTTTGGCAGCAGCGCTCACCTCGGCCACTGGAGGCCATGTGAGGCAGCGATGCAGTAAATGCTGCAGCTGTGTGTGTGTGTGTGTGTGTGTGTGTGTGTGTGTAAGGGTGATCGGACCAAGGCCTGGTTAAGGTAATGTGGCGAAAAACAAGGCTCAGCACCCCTGACACTGACACACACACACACACACAGCTGCAGCACAGCCGGCTGTTGTAGGCGACGGTGTGTGTGTCGGTGCAGGTGTGTGTGTCACCGATGTTTTTGTAAGTTTCTGTTTCTACTTTTAAGGGGAAAAAATGTACTTTCAGTCTTTCACTTTTTTAATTTTAAACTTGGACTTATCTCAAAACATTATATATATATATATAAACCAAATTTAAAAAATAATTTTCAACCACCAAGCCTAGGTTTCTGGACCAACATCAGTTTAAGGAGGATTATTGTCCCATCTTTGACTGGTGAGCGCAGTCATGCCGCACTGTGTCTAAAAAGTCTGGTTGAATCCAGAGAGAGAGTCAGAGGAGAGAAGTGAAACAGCAGGGAGGTCGAACGACTCTGTTGTTGCTGTTCCAAAAACACAGTGTCTTTGCTGCAGAGAGAAAACCCACAACCCATGACCCATAATTTAAGTCTAAAGAGAGCGGAGGCGACAGCGTGAACCGTTTCGCAGAGTTTATGGCAGAAACGGAAGACAGTACGTTCAGTAATCTTGATTTTACGTTTAAAGTGACCTTAGAGCCGTGTCTACAGTCGTCACCGCTCACGCTAGCATCATCTTCATCTCCTGCCAAGTGCTTTTATCAGCATTGAGTTATGAACAAATGGAAGGACAATATAGGTGTTTTTTATGATCACTATTTTTTTACAGATTTTTTTTAAATTTAGATCAACACAGCATCTACAGTAGAAGTAAAGATTTTTTTTTTTTTCGGGGTTGCATTTTCTCCAGCATTTACAAAGAGCCAAAAATAACAGCAGCATCTGCTTCTTAAGTAAAACACATGGCAGCTGCCAACAACTTCTGTGGATGAGACCCAGAAATATGCAGATGTGGCTGTGATGATGAAATCCCAGTGGGATCTGCAGCATTATCAAAGGATTTTATTTTTATTATTTATTAAAAAAAAATAATAGGATCAAAAAAGAAAGTGGCCCAAAAATGGGTTGTTGTTTTTTTCAGGCTGGTTTGAAGTTAATGGAGAGCTCACCCGCAGAGACAGAGTTTGATCAAAACCCGGTGGCGGTGGAGTCCAAAGATGTACATTGTATGATTTGGATTTGCATCATATCAGCGGGAATTTTTCCGCACGTCCACCGGAAATGATGATACGGGGAACAATGGTCGTTAACAACGTGCTGGGAGTCATTTCTTACGGAGTAGAACTGATTCCCTGCTGACAAAAAACCCCTCATGAATAACACATCAAAACCCAGAAGTTCCAAAGATAGACCGACTGAATACGCTGCAACATGTTCGGCTCGGATCCACAAGTCCACAAGACAGTGATCAGAAGAAGAGAAAAATAAATAAAAGTATGTTTCTATTTATATTTGCATTATGGGTAATATCCATGTTTACACACTGACAGATTGGTCTCGGTGTGAAAACCCAAGATATATTTACAACCTAATGATCGGTTGGAGCTGGTAGACTCTCCACAGACCTGAGATGGAAACAAATTCCTGAATACAGCGTGAAGACACGAACCAACCAACACACACACACATAAACACACACACACACGAGGGAGAGGAGTAAACAGATACTAATGTAGAAATATTAAAAAATAATAAAACTGGATTTTATTGAATGTTCAAAAACAGTCGATGATGAAACTCCATCAACCACAGTGATATGAAGGGTGAAAAAAAAAAACCCCATTTCTACTCCATCTGACGGGAACTGGTTCTGTCTACACACACACACACGTCACACGGACGTCAGCTCTTTGTTGGGAGCGGCTCGGGGTCTTCAAAGAGTTCACGCTAACATCACCTGTCTTTAGCTCTTTTGTTCCTTCAATCACTCACAGTGACAGGCCAGACCAGAGCAGAGCAGAGAGAGCGGCGCTTCAGACAAATCTGAACTGCATCCCACAGACACGGGCGCAGGAGAAACAAACCCGACACCCGAGTCCGACATCCTGAAGAACCAGGGCGTTCAGTTATAAATGCACCTGGGCCGGATTTTCAAACTGAGAATTTCAGTGTCTGTGGCTGGTAAACAGGTGGTCGGTACCAGATATGGACCGACACGTACTGTATGATTACACTGAAAAGCAGGTCAACAGAACAATCACTGCTGATAAACAATGGAGCCTGGAATTGGTGTGAAAAAAAAAAAAATGACACTCGAACATTTTATTTTTATGAAGTCAGAGGGACGTGTTACTGGGTAGTTAACTGCTAACACTTCCAGACACATGAGTGATGCATTGTGGGTTGTGGGTTGGACTCTGTGGGAAGTGTTGCATTCATGGCCAGTCTACGGTACGAATTTCTCTTTACTCGCCAAATCCTGAATCACATGACCTCAGACTGGGCCGCATGTTGACCTCGGGGTGCTATCCTTTCATTTATTTATGATATTATTTTTAATCAATGTCCTTTTTCACTATTTTCTCAAGTGTTCTGAAGTGTTACGGCCTTCAAACCAAATCTAGATTTAGGTTCTAATAATAACAACAATAAAAAAAGAAAAAGGTAAAGTAACTTCATGTGAAGGAAATGATGTCTCAAAAAAAAGAAAGAAAGAAACATGCCCTTGAGCAAAGCACGGAATCACTACAACTAAATGATGAGTAAGTACAGCTGGAGTACTGTACTGTATATTTCCCAGGGAGAAAGCTCTGCCATGCATTTTTTTTTAAAAAAAGCCCTGACTGTGTCCAAGAGGACGTCGAACCTTGCCATCAGAGACAAATTGCCTTCTGCACGGCTCCTGTTCCAAGAATACTAAACCAGCACTTAGCCAAGAGTTGACTACTAAAGTAACTCCTGGCACCAGGAGGCAGCGCCTGTTGTATTTAAGGGTGGAATCTACAGCACTCACAGGAAGACAAGAGTGTGTGTGTGTGTAAGTGTGTGTGTGTGTTAGAGAGAGAGAGATAGAGAGAGAGAGTGGTATTGAATCTGTGATGGCGCTGGTGGTGGACTATGAAAATAAATCACTAAAAACAATGGAGTTTTGTTTGGAGCATTCGTTTTCTTTAGTTTGTTTTTGTCGAAGCTTGAAAATATACATACACTTAGATCTTACATTTAAATTCTTAACCAATTATATTTTTGTTTGAGCAAACTTGTAGCCTACTCCCTGTCTTTGTTAGTAATGTTTTTAGCCGACTTTAAAGCAGTGTTGGCTGTTTTTCAGCAAATTAGAGTTGTTGTGTTCATTACTGATAATTATTGACACAGAGACTCAAAGTCAGCAGTTTTTTATGCCTAAGAATGTCACTGTGGTTGGAAAATGTACATGAAAGCACATGAAAAGCTGATGTGTTTGGAGCAAAGTACCTGAAAGAACATGTTCGTCTGTGGATTTTACTTTGTTATCAGTCTGTAAACTCTCACTTCCATTATTCTGGTCTTAAATTTAATTATTTGTAAATAATGATTTCAACTTCTATTTCCCTTCATGGTTCATTCAAGACTCATCATGACTACTTCCTAATTACTTCCTCAGACCTTTAGACTTTAGACATTTCCGAAGACAAAGATAAACCAGACCTGGGTCGGACCCAGAGTGAAAACGTCTACACACACAAAGAAAACAAAACAAATTCACCCTCCTGTAATATTTTCTGCATGTCGGTCCGTACTGTGTCCATTAATTAATTCCAGACCCTCTCTACACATGGCGTCTACATGGCAGTCACAGTGAATGTACGAGGTGTACGCTCTGTGCAAAGACCTCGTTTGCATGCACTCTGTCCTGTAGTATTGATCTGCCCTGTCTGTATAAATGCATTTGTATGGATAATTGCAACTGCGTGCCCTTTGGCAGGACTCGACCGTGTGCACCACATGTGGGGAAAAGGGTAAAAAAAAAAAAAAAAATCACCCTTGGGAGTAAAATCAAGGAGCTATGTGATTCAGTGAAACAACTGAATGAAGTGAATCTGTTACAGTAGAACAAGAGTTCTGTAGAGATTAGTGGAGAAAAAAATCTACTCTGTGATGCAACGAGGTGAAAGTAAATAAATAAATGAAGATGTCTGTCTGACCATGTGCCAGTGTCAGCGTCTTACCTTTCATGCCAAATTTGGAGCGTCGGCCGTATTTATTGATCAGAACAAAGAGCACGAGGAGGAGGACACAAGCGAACCCTGCCAAACCGACAGCGATGGAAACCTGTGAAAAAGACGAGGCAACAAACATAGTAAACATTTCAAAATAATTAAAAAAAAAAAGAAAATCTAAAGTGAATCCAGCGACTGATGTGACTCTGATGGAGCTGTTTTCCAAAACGTTTATTCACATCATCGTTTGGCACTTTCTAATCTAAAGTGGATCTAAATGACATCATGTCAATTTTTTTTTAATGACTCACAATATGTTGTCTTAATTGTTGAACTGAAACGATGGCGTGTTATGTGTAATAAAAGAAGCAACACTTTACTTCAACCTGTTAGCATTTTAATGTCAGCGTCAATTTTGTCGACATGTAATTTTTTTTATTTATTTATTTTTTTATCAAAGTCTCAGTCAATGACCGTCTTCCCTGGGATGAAAAATGAAACAAAAACTAACAGAGTGAAGATGATGAACTGTACTGATGCAAATAATAACACAAGAGAGAATAAAGATTGGCAGGAACAAAGCAACCAATCAGCACTGATTTGTCATGTGAACAGTTAGAACAGATGAGAGAGAGAGAGAGAGAGAGAGAGAGAGAGAGAGAGAGAGAGAGAGAGAGAGAGCTGTGTCTGTGGTTAAAATGGTGGGGAATGAAAACGGATGTTGCCAATCATAGAAACAGAGAAAAAGAGTATGAAGGTCAACTGGTGACCAAAACTATCCTGGTAGAACCAGAACTTCTACAATTTTAATTTAAAACCTGTGTGTTCTTGTGCTTGTGATACTTTTATGAGGGATGCCGTCTTATACCAAAAAACAAAACACAGTTGTACGTTTCCAGAAAAACTGCGTCCGCACAACGAGCGTTACTTTACACACAGCACTAATTGTGCTTGTGATACTTTTATGAGGGATGCCGTCTTGGAACAAAAAACAAAACACAGTTGTACGTTTTTAAGTTTCCAGAAAAACTGCGTCCGCACAACGAGCGTTACTTTACACACAGCACTAATTAATTACTGTCATCTCTCAAGATGATAGGAACTTCAAAGACACTCTCCCTCTCCATCCATCCATCCATCCATCCATCTTTACGCTCATCCATCCCTCCATCCATCCATTCATCCATTCATTCATCCACCCATCCATCCATTCATCTATTCATCCATCCATCCATTCATCCACCCACCCATCCATTCATCCATTCATCCTCCCATCCATTCATTCATCCATCCATCCATCTTTATTTTCATTCATCCATCCATCCATCCATCCCTCCATCCATCCACCAGTTTCTGTTGTTCTGTTTTTTCGTTTCCCTCAGGACGAGTGCTTTAGAAGCACCTGGAACAACGTGGTTTTTCTCTTTATTTAGTTTTTTAACTCGGTCACAACTTTGTTCCACAAGAATCAAGTGCACGGCCAGGAATGGCCCACTGAATGCATAAATTGGGATTAATGAAAAGTTTCAGTGAGAGAAAATAAATCAGTGCCCAGGTTTAAAAAAAAACAAAAGGCCGATTTAATGTGGATTTGGCTGTGAATGTAGAACGGTCAGTGCATAATGACCGGTGCAGTCGAACTCCTCCAAACCACAACTGTGGAACCTTACATTCTTTTAGAAGAAACTTATTTAAAATTGCTTTGTTTTCTGACTAATATCCAGTTGTGGAGACTGAGCTACGTTTAATCACTGCCACCTACTGGCTAAAAGACTCAGGTTAACATTTGTACTGAGACACTTTTAAGTTGAAGTAAAAGCCGATGTAAAATACTTTACATTTCATAAATATACAGTATATATATAGATATTATACTGGCGTAATCTGTTCTGTAAATAAATAATAAAAATACAATCATATAACGTGTATTCTTTTCATATTCACGAGGCTCAGTGACACTGCTGTGTTTTCCACTCACTCAGTTTCACTGACTCTGTTAGGATGCCGCTGATTCCACAGCCATATGTTACATTACATTTTTTAAACCACATCACTCACCGCGGGGACTGCGTTACCATCATCATCATTAGTGTCCAAACACAGGACCGTGAAAAATGACTTTAATATTGCGTGGTGTGTTGAAGTGTTTTGTGCCGGCGCGCCGCGTGTCAACGCAGCGTACAAAGCCTACGAGGGCCCGTTGACAAATGGAGAAGTGTAAAGGTTTGTGCTGAAACATGCAGTCGCTCTTTGCTGATTCTAGAGGTTACGACCCCTAACATCTCGTCTCCAACAACATCAATAACAGGAACACTCACCCCGAATGTATCTTCATCTGTTCGACCTGAATCTGATTGCGTCGTGGGATCTGCAAGAGGAAACACACAACACATGTATCAGCTGCTGTGGGTCGGTGCACGCCTTTGTTCCCGCTGCATCCACCTGCTGACAGAAGTACATGCTGTGAGCACCAAACATTTAAAGGGACCGTCTGTGTTTTGGCAGACAGTGGATGAATGGAGACAATGATATCAACATGGTAACAGAGGAAGAGGTGTAATTAATAGTTCTTAATAGGCCTCTTAGCTAATAGTGGCCTAGAGCGATGAGTCGACTTAAACAGTGGAGCCGTAACAGCTTGAGACACTGTTGATGAACAATGCATTTTTACGAGGCTTATAAAAATGTGCACAGCCTTAAATGTTCGCTCAAGTCTGACATCTGTCACAAAGATCCAACTCGAGCCTGGAATGTCTTCCGGCGGGAACGGTTACCTCGGCTAACCCACGAAAATGAACGGGAGAGAAATTAAATTGCGAAAATGTGTACGTGTGGCACAAACGCCTGTTTGTGTTCACATGGTCGCATAAAAGCAGAATAATAGACAGAGCAACACTCTTAAAGTGAAAGGCAATTACGACGGCTAAGGAAAAGAAAAAGAAGCTTTTTACTGCCTACAGCAACGACTTTATCGAGAAAATCTAAAGCCAATTTGCGGAGAGGAATCTCATCAGTTACCATTTGCCGTGCAAATGTCGAAGAATTCATTCTGACTCATTTGTAATGCTAAATTGCATGTTACCCTTGTGCAAACAAGGCGTTTTGGCGAAGGACGGAGGAACGAGCAGGAGACGGAGGAGAGGACAAAGACAGAGCCATAAAAACAGAATGAGCTGGAGTGAGGAGAGACTCCACTCCGAGGCCTCCAGCCAGGACATCAGAGACTAATCGTCAGCAAATTAATGAGCACATGCTAGAGTGACTGCCACTGGCTTTGAAACACAGTACACTAAAGTGTCTGGGCTCTGGATAAGTGTCTCTGCTCTAACTACAATGTCTTCTTTTATCCCACACTCCTCTCCTCTCCTCTTCCCTCTCCTCTTCCCTCTCCTTTCTTCCCCTCCTCCTCTTTTCAATCCTCTCTTCCTTACATCCTTTCTTCCCTCTTGTCCCTGCCTGTTTTCTTTTCTAGTCTTCTCTCCTCTGTTCTTTCATTTCCTTTCCTCCTCTGTTCTTTTCAAGCTTCTTGTTCCCGCTCCCTTTTTACTCATTTCCCTCTTTTTGTCCATCATCTTCTCTTCTTTTTGTCTTTTTTTAGCCAACCCTCCCATTTAATTGTTTCTTGGCGTCCCATCTCCACCATCCTCCCCCC